CTAATCAAGAGGTTTTCAAATGAGATCACTGGAATTGTGTCCACTGGAATGGTGGTCACTGCAGAAATGTTCACGGGATTGTTTACCAATAGAACGACGAGTTTTTAACTTGTAGGAGATGTCCCTTATGGAAGACACATGTATAAACCTGATATTACATGTTGCATTCATAAACTGTAAATAGTTCTGGCAATTTAGTTGGTTATTAAGGTTCAGCTGGAAAGTAACATTTTGGTAAAAAATGCTATACCTGCACATGTTATTTTCTGGTACAAAATTGAGTATGAAGGCATGTGTGTTTTTCCTTGCTTTTTTCAGGAAAGTGTCATTACACTGTCTACTTTTAGTAAACCTGGAAACGGGTCAATGGTAGCTCCTGTGTTGTCTGGAAACTTTGAAGGAAAATTTGGAAAAATATAAAGTGTGGAATATCAGAATTTCCTGGAGTTCCCATTGAACTCCTACCAGATATTCCAAGAGAAGACAATGAAATGATACTTTCCTGAAAAAGTAATATAGAAAAAAATATATGAAAAATAATAGATCCATGGGAACAATATTCTTTGTTTTTTTTAAATTGATGGGTTTACTGTGAATTCAATAAATTACAATTTGCAAGGGGTAAGTATACTGTATGAGCTGGCTAGTGGCTTTGTATTTTATGTTAGGCCAGGGTAATTAAATTAGTAGTTTCTCTTTCTTCTATTTTTCAAAATTGATACGGGAATGACGGTTTTTATATTACCTTTTTTTGTCTATCTAAAATGCTGATGAGGGACGGGATGATTTTTTTCTTTTAAATAACTGTAAAAACAAATAACTAATTTTGAAGGAAATAAACTGGGTTATGTTGAATTTATATGTCGAATTTAGCCTACTTTACTGGTATATTTGATCATATATCAGTACCACGATATTGTCAATTATCCTGATCCATAAAAAGTAAAAAAAAGTGTTTCACACGCCATGGATGCGCGCGAGGTACGGTGTTTTTTTTTCTCAGAAATGGCAGAAAAAAGGTGGAGGGGGGATTGGGCCACACGCGGGCAAGAATGAGAAACAACTAATTTAATTACCCTAACCTTAGTTCATCCAGTAGTTCGTTTTTACTGCAAAGTAGTGTTTTTATATGCAGCTTAATAGCATAAAATATGTTGAATGAAGCATATGGTGTGGATAAGTCGTGTGACACACAAACTGACCAAATACATGAGGGTATTAGCTACTTTTCACATAAACCAAAGGAGGACAGTGCTTTTATTTCAACTGGGAGCTTACCTCCACACGACTGATCATGTGACCATGGTGGTGGTCCCCTTTAAGTTTGATTAAGCTTTCTTAAGTGAAATGCATGATTTTATTTGTTTACATTAGCGCTTAATTGAAAAATAAAATAGGATTAACTCCAAGCAAATTAAGGCACATCAAAGAATATATAGCCTCGCGTATAAGAGGCGTATAGTTTGTTTTTAGATTACGTAATACATACTATACTCATCTTTTTTATGTACTTATATCCTACTATTCCTGGCTCTTAAGAATAATCGGAGAATAGTTCAAACGATATTTAGTATCGTAGAGTATATACCACCAATACTAAATGTTCCGCTTCTGAGGCAAGAATAGTTTGTTTCCCATACCGAATACAATATAGTGAGGACATACTGAACTATATTCACAAATAGTTTGCCACTTATACGCTACTATATTTGGCTTTTTGCACAGTGTAAGCAAATTGACACATAACTTCATACTTTATTTTGTACCAGAAAATAATATGTTCAGGTATAGCAATTTTTTACCAAAATGTTATTTTCCAGCTGTACCTTAAGCCCGAAAAACGCTTAAATGAACAATGTACACGTTTGTGTTTATACTTTATATCTAGTTGGTTATTTATGTGTATTTACCTGATATATGAAATATCATAGATGAGTTAGGCCAAACATCATCCATTATTTGATAATTCAGACGCATATAGATGACAATCCACTGATTGTCTTCAGTGGATCGTTCCTCAAATCTGGCCAATTGACCGTTTACTATATAAATGTATAAATAGATGGCAGCATCGGCAAACAACTAATACAAGAACACAAACTGAGGCAAACTTGTATTAACACAGAAAATATATTTAAAGTGTTCTTCTGCTGTGTACGTCTCTGCTTTGAAAAATAAAGAATGTGATCCACTCACATTCCCAAGCTCCGCCCACTAATTATAATAATGAATGTGATAATAGACAAGACGCTATGTTCTTAAAAAACACTTATTTGGAATAAGTGAATATTTATTGATTCAGTCGCTCAAATTGCTGTTAGGTACTTGCTCGTTGCAATTTGAGCGACTGAATCATAAATAGAAATTACTATATTACTTACATTGAATAAGAATAATGCTGATTTTTTTTATTAATGATTGTATACCCAGGCCTCAGAACACAAATGTGTACAATATGTCCCCACCAATGGGTGATCCCGTCAAATGGTTATCCTGAAAATGAGTAGACAAGACTTTACCGTTACAATTTTGGGACGGAAAATGCAAATGGCCACCTTAAAATTTACCCCAAATGCCCAAAAATTAGTCAGCTCTAGATTTTCACACGAAGAACCATCCCCTCAAACAGTAAACCAGAAAACTCGTAAACAAGACTTTACAGACAAGATTTTAGGACGGAAAAATCCAAAATGGCTGCCTTGACATTTGCCCAGAATGGCTAAAAAAGTAATCGGTTCTAGATTTTCATACTCAGAATCATCCCTGAAAATTTGAAATTGATCTACCTAACGGTTCACCTAAAAACGCGTAGACAGAACTTTACAGACAATATTTTAGGGCGGAAAATCCAAAATGGCTGCCCTGACATTTATCCAGGATGCCAAAAGACTAATCAGTTCTAGATTTTAATACAAGGAATCATCCCTGAAAATTTGAAATTGATCTACCAAACGGTTCACCTGAAGACACATAGACAAGACTTTACAGGCAAGATTTTAGGACGGAAAATCCAAAATGGCTGCCTTGACATTCACCCAGAATGCCAAAAAACTAATCCGATCTAGATTTTCATAATAAAAATCATCCCTAGAAATTTGAAATTGATCTACCAAATGGTTCACTTGAAAACGCGTAGACAAGACTTTACAGGCAAGATTTTAAGACGGAAAATCCAAAATGGCTGCCTTGACATTTATCGAGAATGCCAAAAAACTAATCAGATCTAGATTTTTATACTAAGAATCATCCCTGAAAATTTGAAATTGATCTACCAAACAGTTCACCTGAAAACCCGTAGACAAGACTTTACAGACAAGATTTTAGGATGGAAAAATCCAAAATGGCCGACAATAAAAAAGTGATTATTAGTTTTTGCTGATTTCTTTTTTACAAAACTATCACATATAACTACTGTTAACAATAACATATTAGGCTTTTACAGCAAAGTACACATGAACTTATTTATAAAGTTACTAAATAGTTTAAGTATGAAAACTAAAAACACCGTTCAATATGAAACAAAGTATTATCGCGCGCTAACTTTTATTAAGACATTCAAAATGGCTGACATGACTGAGCTAACAGGTCCAAAACCTAATCAGATGTAGAATGAAGTAAGTTGAATAAGATGTTAAAGTTTTAAAAGCAACCGTGAAGTCGTTTTTCTTAAAGTTTGCAGACAAGGATTTTAGCATTTGACTTCAAAATGGCCGACAGGAGGTAGGTATCGGTCTAAAAATCTTCTGTCCACATCTGTATGCAGTCATAAGTTACCCCTGAAAATTTGAAGGTGATATCTGTAGTGGTTTTGGAGAAAATTACCGGACGGACGGATGGACGGACGGACAGACAGACAGACAGACAACCAGATCGACGGACGGGCCTTACATTCTGTAAAAAACATGGTATTTTATGTAATGTTGACTGATTGACAACAATTTAATGCGAAAATTGTTTAGAAATATTTCATGTAACTGTTTTTGTCAATTTTTTTTGTTTTTTTAGTGCAACTGTTTTTGCTCCTTTCTACCAATTCTTGAGAATGATATAAAATGTCTTCCCAAACCTTGTTTGAACAAAATAGCATAAATAACATGTTTTTAGACCTCTCAATATTGAGTTATACAAAGAAATTTTTGGTTCATTTTAAGTATTCAAAAACTTAAAACAAAAATCCCCCCAAAATAGATAAAAAATAATAGATAAACCTTTTATTTCATTAACAAGATACTTTTTTAAAATCAACCAAAATTTCCTTTGTACAATTAAAATATTGAGAGACCTAAACATGTTGTGTTTATGTCGTTTTGTTCCAATGAGGTTCGGAAAGATGTTTCATTTCACTCTGGAAACATGATACCAAGAATAAAACAAGTATTTGATGTGTTTTCTAAAACAATATAGATGAAAGTATGTATATATATATTTCAAATTATATTGTTACCATTCAAAAGATGACCATTAAATTGAAGATGTGTTTAATTTTTAGATTTTTTATGACTGATTATGATTATATTATAATCATACATACAATTTTTCTAGTAATTGTCGTTAATGCGTTGATATAATTATCACTGGTGATCCGCTCGATTACGCTGGTTACCGAAACGGTTCGTTTCGGTAACAAAATGTCTGAACGTCGAAGGTATGATTTTCTCTTTTTTCCTTATTTCACGCGTCGTAGGCAGAATCCCCACGACATTTTTTCTCAGAATCGTATATCAGTATCATATTTTTAAGAAAATGTACATGTTTCCGAAAAAAATGCTCAGAAGTTACATAAGCACTAAGGATTAAAAGTGCAGATCTTAACTGTTTTTCGAAATACCGTTTATGTAACTTAAGTGGGGAGTTAAATCGACGATTCCGTTGTCTTCAGAACTATTTGTTCGCAAATGTGTACATTTTCTTAAACATATGATACTGATACACGTTTGTGATAAAAATGTCGTGGGAATTCTGCCTACAACGTGTGGAATAAGGAAAAAAGAAAAGTTGTACCTTCGACGTTCCGACATTTTGTAACCGAAACGCTTCCAGCGTAATCAAGTGGATCACCAGTGATTATGTACAGACAGCAATCGCAGATTCACATGTAACTAACTACATATACGTAAGTTTACAATATTGTTTAAGTTCTAATTTTTTAAAGTAGCTGTTTGAGCTATATGCCATCATATAAATTCAGTGTTATCACAAAACAAATCAGGGTAACACATTGTCTCTGCTGTCAGACTTTCGCGCCTCTTGTAGAATGAGTCCTATCTATGTTAAGCGAACTACATTCGATGCCGATGGTCCTTTAGTACCATTATCCACTTCGAAGGATACCCTTTGTCCCTCGGAAAGCGTCAGGAAGCCTGGTCCTTGAATCGCAGTCTGAAAAAGAATCTAAATCAATTTAGAACAATCTGATAAATAAAGAATGCATGAACAATTTACGTCGGATCCCGCGTTGGATAACCTAGTTGGTAAAAAGATATTTAGAAAAATCAAGAAATAAATTTAAACTAATATTTGATTCTTTTCAGGTGAATACATGTGCATCTTTCACAAGGTTACCATCATCAATTTTACTAACTCATTCGTTTTAACATTAATGTAGATACTGTGCATTTACACGACATTTTTACGACAGTCATTATTATAATTTTGACAACTTTGATCGAAATAAATTACCAACGAGCCGAAAAACGCTCAAAGGATTGGTATCGATATGGAGAACTGAATTCAACAATGTTTTTCTCTTAAACCAATCATTGAAAACATTCTGTAAAAAACACGGTATTTTATGTAATGTTGACTGATTGACAACAATTTAATGCAGAAATTATTTAGAAATATTTCATATAATGTTTTTGTTAACATTTTTTGTTTTTTAGTGCAATTGTTTTTGCTCCTTTCTTCCAATTCTTGAGAATGAAATGAAATGTCTTTCCGAACCTTGTTGAAACAAAATAGGATATACAACATGTTTTAGACCTCTCAATATTATAGTAATACAAAGGAATTTTTGGTTGATTTTAAAAAATAGATAAAAATCAAGATAAACCTTATATTTCATTAACAAGATACTTTTTTAAAATCAACCAAAATTTTCTTTTACAGTTACAATATTGAGAGACCTAAACATGTTGTGTTTATGTCGTTTTGTTTCAATGAGGTTCGGAAAGATGTTTCATTTCACTCTTGAAACATGATACCAAGAAGTGTTTGATGTGTTTTCTAAAACAATACAGATGAAAGTATATATATATTTTTTTCAAATTATACTGTTACCATTCAAAAGACGACCATTAAATTGACGATGTGTTAAATTTTTAGATTTTTTATGACTGGTTTAAGAGAAACGTGTTCAAAAGGTTCTCCATATCGATATCACTCCTTTATCTAATTTGATGAACATTTCTAGTGAATATAGTCTAGTCTATCATATCATCACTTGCTTTGAAATCCTGTTGAAGTCTCGTTTTGACGAGAGTTTAGAAGATGTGCATTTGGAACCATTTAAGATCAACATTTGATTCTATTTGACGGAATATTTTAATTCTGTGTGTAAATATTCTATATAGCAATAACCTTATTCAATTTTCCTGTTAAATTCTCATTGACACAATGTTCAAACATCTTTTAAAGTTATTTACTCTTTTAAGGTTCACAAAATGATAATTAAATCACAATCCACATGTAAACAAGACATTATAGTATGGTAGTAAATATATTTTACATAAATCGAAATTGAATTGGTTGATAATAAGCAAGATTAATATTATGAATAGTAGTCTGGGCCTACCAACACACGTGCCACCATCTATTAATCAATTTCTCTATATAGCAAATAAACCATTGGGCCATACTTTAAAGAACTCTTCAATAGAGAACTTACATATTGCACAAAAACATCAGCGCTTTTGTCGTCAGGTGCAATGAACCCATAACCCTTGGCTTCGTTAAACCACTTGACAGTTCCCGTCATCGATGCTCTTGTGTGCAGAGATTCCTGCTCACGGTCAAGAAGCATCCTAGAAAATAAAACACTTGTATATAATATGCCCTTCATAAGTTTGTGCAACTAGAGGCTTTCGTTCAATAGTCAATCGATCAAAGACTATCAATGTTTTATTCTTAATGTTATCCCTTCTTCATTAGTCTAGCTACTCTGTCACCCCCTCCTCTACTTGACTGAACTTCACAAAATGGCTTGACGCTAGACTACTTCATCATTACAAAAGTTGGGATTTATGACTTTGGTGATGTTTTTATGTCGCTAAAGATAGTCAGACTTTGACACGTGATCGATCCGAAAGAAAACTACCAACTGCCAAACTTATGGGATGTAGTATGAGGGGCGGATCGGAAAAAATATTAGACGCCTAAAACCAAAAAGGTGGCCCAAATGAAAATGTTATCTTGCATTTAACAGTTCAAGCATAGAAAAGCATTAACACAATTTAGATGTGGAGGTCATAACCTGCAAGTTGAGGTAGGACGATGGGAAAATATTCCAAGAGAACTACGTCTTTGTAAATACTGTTTAACAAATGGTAAAAACATTGTAGAAGATGAATTCTACTTTATCATAAAATGCCCATTGTATGAGTTTTTTAGGAATAACTACCTATCAACCCTTGTACATTATAATGTAAATGAATTTTATAAATTGTTGTCATCAAATAATGAAGAAGTAATTTGTAGTTTTGCATGTTTTATTTATCATAGTTTCAAATTAATATCATTATTTCTATCAGATCTTGAATAATCATAAAACTAAGTAATTTTCATGATGCCATCTATAATATGTATATTGTATACAATTAAAGTAAAATGTATATGGGCCTAAGGCCTTATATATATGAAATAAATATTATACTATACTATCTACTAAGATTAAAAAAGTTCATTTAATAATATCCTAAAAACAGTACTTCTCTTCATCAGTCGCTCGCTTCATATGAATTGAAGCATGTAATTTTTACTTTCAAATTATTTAAAATCATCATAAAAATACAATGTATTAATGGTTATATTTTTAATTTAATTGCAATGATAAAATTTGAATTCAATCAATCATCATTCTTCCACCTTTACAAAAGCGCCATCTGTAGAGCCAGGCCCGTCAGACTCTTTTCTTCAAGCGGGTACGTTTTTACGGCCAATTTCTACCGCGTAGATCAACGGCAGGTAGAGATCAGATGTGGGGGGCTGCCTTCTCAGCCATTGCTAGTTGACTTGATTAATTCAAAGACGTACCTGGTAAGTAAGCTCAACAGGACGTCCTCTGTTGCCTCGTTGGGCTGAGCTTCACCATGTCTTGCACATGATACTATCACCACAGCAGCTACCAAACTAATCACGAATGAGTGCTTCATCTAGAATTATAAATTTTATGGATATTTTGCATGGGATTTCTTAATAGGGAGTATAGAATACCCTTTGCATTCGTTTGACTTCACTTCTTAAAAGAGAGCTTGTAGTTTAACTAGACTCTGCGCGCAGGGTACAGATAGATTCATGGTCCTCTGTGGATTAGTTCTCCTATTTGTACCGTTTACTTGATTGCGTTAAGCATACGGAAAATGGAGAGTTTAAGCAAGCGATATTTTTCACAACGTAACCGTGAACGCAAAGCCAATGAATCAATATAGTAATGTATATAGCGCGCATACAAAACAAGCTCTACTTATTAGTCTAATTCGTTCCGATCAGCTTCAGATCTGTGTTAAGAATGGGAGATTTGCAATTTCGTGTTGGTGTCAACGGGAATCATATTACTCATGTCTATTGAATACTATGCTGGCAGTTTTGATTTCGATGCACAGTATAATGCTTTCTGAAGGAAATGATGTACATCATACATGTTTTAACTACATTCGTAAGTACGAAATGAGTTTGTTTAAAATATGTATCATAGAAAACCAGATAAACAAGGGCCAATCAAAAAGTTTCTTACCGTTGGCTCTAGATTTTATTTAGTAAGAGAAGTTGGATGCTCAAACTTTTACATGAGACAGGGTAATACGTTTACTTAAACAGTACAAGTTTCATATAAATTGGTCCATTGGTAATGGCCTAGAGTCAATACACATTTTCAATGATTAAGTTAGGTGGGGCAGCGTTTTTTATAAAAAAAAATGTACAAAGCAGAAGTTTTGGAAATTTCTAACACAGCAGTGTCATCTGTCAACAGACTGTTGTAGTGATCATGTTTAAGTAGTTCTTATGCTAATATTTATTCTCCTTCAAAATATTCAACCCCAGATGCAAAGCACTTCCTATATCTGTCAACCCAATCCAAAAGCACAACAGAGGTTGTCAACGATGTCGGCCATTGTATAACTATCAATGGCATATTACACGATGATATGTAGTCTAACACCCCAGTCACATTTGTCGCACGGCGGCCGCAAGTCGACCGCAGATCAATTAAATCACTGAATTTCTGCGGCGAGCGTAGAAAAACTACGCTCGCCTTGCGGCCTCCGTGCGGCGTGTGCAGATTTTTACAGGCCCCAGGGAAGGCGTAGAAATTATAACTCGGAGTTATAATATTTGTTCATTTCTGAGGTCCCCGTAGAAATCAACTGGCTCAACAAGATTGAATCATTATTTGTCAATGTTTCACGATCACTTTTCATTTGATATTACATCCTAGCACTATGAATAACATTTATGAATGTAAATAAAATGAAAAAAAGTATTATTTATCAACAGAAATTTAAAATTCACCTTGCGGCTGCCGTGGGAAATGTGACTGCAAAAGTATGAGAGCGCAGAAATTCTGCGGCGAGCGTAGAAAAGCAACTGGCCGCAGAAATGATAGACCGCACGGCGGCCGCAGGAAATGTGACTGGGGTGTTACACCCCAGTCACATTTGTCGCACGGCGGCCGCAAGTCGACCGCAGATCAATTAAATCGGTGAATTTCTGCGGCGAGCGTAGAAAAGCTACGCTCGCCTTGCGGCCTCCGTGCGGCGTATGCAGATTTTTACAGGCCGCAGGGAAGGCGTAGAAATTATAACTCGGAGTTATAATTTCTGAGGTCCCCGTAGAAATCAACTGGCTCAACTAGATTAAATCATTATTTGTCAATGTTTCACGATCACTTTTCATTTGATATTACATCTTAGCACTTTGAATAACATTTATAAATTGTCCTGATGTAAATAAAATGAAAAAAACTATTATTTATCAATAGAAATTTAAAATTCACCGTGCGGCTGCCGTGGGAAATGTGACTGCAAAATTATGAGAGCGCAGAAATTCTGCGGCGAGCGTAGAAAAGCTACTGGCCGCAGAAATGATAGACCGCAAGGTCGCCGTAGGAAATGTGACTGGGGTGTTAGTAACACCCCAGTCACATTTATCGTACGGAGGCCGTGCGTCGACCGCAGATCAATTAAATCAGTGTATTTCTGCGGTGAGCGTAGGAAAACTACGCTCGCCTTGCGGCCTCTATACGGCGTATCCAGTTTTTTACAGGCCGCAGCGTCGCCGTAGAAATTATAACTCGGAGTTATAATATTTGTTCATTTCTGAGGTCCCCGTAGAAATCAACTGGCTCAACAAGATTGAATCATTATTTGTCAATGTTTCACGATCACTTTTCATTTGATATTACATACTAGCACTATGAATAACATTTATAAATTGTCCCGATGTAAATAAAATGAAAAAAGTATTATTTATCAACAGAAATTTAAAATTCACCGTGCGGCTGCCGTGGGAAATGTGATAGACCGCAAAGTCGCCGTAGGAAATGTGACTGGGGTGTTAGTCACATTTCCTACGGCGACCTTGCGGTCTATCATTTCTGCGGCCAGTAACATTTCTACGCTCGCCGTGGAATTTCTGCGCTTTCATACTTTTGCAGTCACAAAAGTATGGATACGCCGTACGGAGGCCGCAAGGCGAGCGTAGTTTTGCTACGCTCGCCGCAGAAATACACTGATTTAATTGATCTGCGGTCGACGCACGGCCTCCGTACGACAAATGTGACTGGGGTGTTACAGACTAATGCCCGGGTCACATTTGCTACGATTCATCGGCCGGCGCCCGTTCAAAATTGAATACATTTCTGAACACAATACTCTATAGCTATCGGCCGGGCGCTGTAGTGAAAATTGGAGCAAATGTGACCAAGGCATAAGTAAACACTGTAACTGAACGATAATTTACTCGTATGTGAGAAAACTACATGCATGTCTATATGTGCTAGAGAGAAGTCAAAATCTCACCTTCTTAAATGGTCCAAGTCTCCCTAATGTTTAACGTGTGAATAGGTAAGATGCTTTTTTAAACGGTCAATGTATAGCATATCGAAATCACCAAAAGGACTTGGCATGTGATCAACGGGATGTTTGCCTATTGGTGTATACGGTACATGTGTGTCATATCTGTGGCGAAGGTGGAATGAAAAAAATAAAATACTTTATACGTGCGAATGATTTTATTCAAAGGTTTTATGTGTTTAACCAAACTTGCCATGGTCACTTGTACATGTACCTTTGATTACGGTAAATACTGTAATGTGAGCCATACATATGTACACACCAAACAAATGCACACGCACTCATTTGCATTTGCGGCCGCCGTGCGACAAATATGACTGGGGTGTTAGTTGCTAATTTTAGCTCATTTATGGTAACCGGATTGTTGGCATACACATTATCCTTAAAGCTAAGTTCACACCAACGGCGCTTTGGTGGCGCGCGTGCAAAGCCGCTTTAAAGCGCTATCGAAGAGCTGTTGGTGTGAACCTGGCTTAAGGTACGTTCACACCAACGGCGAATGCCACGCTTTAAATCGGCGAGCAAAGCGCCGTCATTTTTGTCATTTTTCTTCATACCAACGGCGCTTTGATGGCGCTTTAAAGCGGCTTGTAAAGCGGCACCAAAGCGTAACAAATTTTGATTAAAGCGTCGGGGTCGTAATAGGTCGTAGAAAAGCTCAGAGTAAAACGGGATATTCGGCAAGAGCGCCAAAAAATTTTAAACTCTTTAAAAATTTTGGGCGCTCTGTTACGAATCGATTAAGCGCCGAGAGCGTATCAAAGCTTAACAAACCGTAACAAAGCTCAGAAAAACTTGATCCAAAGCGTAGGAAAGCTTAACATAGCTCTAAAAGGTTCCTCACGCTTTGATCCCGCTTTGATCAGGCTTTGTTACGCTTGAAATCACGCTTGAAATCACGCTTTGAAAAGCTTTGATAAGCATTATTACGCTTTGATGCGATTATGACGCTTTAAATCAGGCTCTGATACGATTGCAAAACTCTGTTGTGCATTGTTACGCTCTGTTAAGCTCTGTCACGCATTGGAAAATGTCGAGATCGCCGATTCCATGCCGCTTTTGATCCAATGACTATATAAAGATGCAGTAGATCCATAAAACCATAGCATCTTTGACTCGAGAACACGATGGCAGAACAACGAGATCCAGAAATTCCAGATGGACCAGAGCATGACCTATCTGAAGAAGACATGACGTTTGTCGCACGGCGTGATATAGCGTGTGAAAACTTTCAAGCGTAACAAAGCCTAGCAAAGCGTTTCAATCCTTGATTAAAGCGTCTCAATTCGTTGGAAAGCTTGAGAGTCCCTCAGGAAAGTGTAACAAAGAGTGTCAGATATTGATGAAAGCGTCTGACCTCGTGTCAGATCTTCATGCCAGATCGTAGCAAATCTTGAGACATCTTAACGAAGCGTGTCAAGTGGTAACAGACCGTGAATAGACTGGGGTCCCCGCTTTGAACCAAGCTGTGTTAAGCTTTCCTACGCTTTGAGTCAAGCTTTGTTGAGCTTTGTTACGGTATGTTAAGCTTTGATACGCTCTCGGCGCTTCAATCAATTCGTAACAGAGCGCCCAAAATTTTTAAACAGTTTAACATTTTTTGGCGCTCTTGCCGAATATCCCGCTTTACTCCGAACTTTTCTACGACCTATTACGATCCCGACGCTTTAATCGAGCTTTGTTACGCTTTGGTGCCGCTTTACAATCCGCTTTAAAGCGCCATCAAAGCGCCGTTGGTGCGAACGCTTAAACAGTTTAAACTTTTTAGCGCTCTTGCCGAATATCCCGCTTTACTCCCGAGCTTTTCTACGACCTATTACGACCCCGACGCTTTAATTAAGCTTTGTTACGCTTTGGTGCCGCTTTACAAGCCGCTTTAAAGCGCCATCAAAGCGCCGTTGGTGTGAACGTACCATTAAGTAATACATTTTAAAATTTTACTTCTAATATCTATATTTTATTCCGATTTGAAGTGTGTTCTGTATTACGTAATTATCATTTATCTCCAGGTCAATTAATGCCGTAACGATAATCTTTAGTTAAGCTAGGTTCACACCAACGGCGCTTTGATAGCTTTAAAGCGGCTTTACATGCCGCTTTAAAGCGCTATCACTTACACATCTTACTGTATCGAAACCACTGCTTATGTCTTAAAAGGTTCCCTCGACTGCTAAAGCCAACGGCACACCAACGGCGCTTTGATGGCGCTTTAAAGCGGCGTGCCCAGAAGCTTTTCAAAGCGCTTTAAAGCGCCATCAAAACGCCGTTGGTG